TTTTTTCAATCAGACCTAGTGGATATCTGTCGATGACATGTTAACGGCTCAGCAGGCTCCTAATCAACTAGAATGTCACGTACACAATGTTGGTATCTAGTTGTTATAAAAGGTAAATCACTTAAACTTAAACAAGAAAAATAATAAAATATTTTAAAAACTGGATTATTATAATGTAAGATAATAAGACTATTTAAAGAGCTGTGCACTTTTGATCAGTTTGCACGGCCATCTGAACTCTTTCTCAGAGTGGCAGTATTACTGTTACCCATGTGTTACATTACCGAGGAAAGTAATACTGTTACTGGTAACAGTAATCTTCCATGTATTCCTATTACTACAATAGTAACAGCAATACTGAACAGTATTCCTATTCCCAGCAGCAATAATACTTTCAGTATTACTATTGGTGGGAATAGGATCCAAGCTGCTTAGTTCTGTTTGACAACGAGTCTAGTTCTGCAGAAATTTAAGTATCTATAAGATCTAGTCAAAAGCTTACTTTGAAATCTTCATCTGGATCTTAATTCAATGGTGATAGCAAATATGAAACACATAGAATTGTTTTAACAGCAGCTTTAAATGTTAAACGATTATTCACTTTACTTTATAAGTTGACAGCTCAGCTGTCATTATGGAGGCAAAAAATTTTTGAAGCTGTCATTATTTAGAATCAAACTTTTTTGTCTTGATAATGACAACTGAGCTGTCGAAACGTCGACTTATAAAATAAAATGAATAGTTATTTAACATTTCAAGCTTACTTTTGATAGTACTGTCTTTATCTTCGTAGATGACGCATAATTTAAAATTTTAATTTACGTGATACATTTCTGTTAAAAGACTGGGCTGCTTTCGTTTCAAAGACATTAAACAATACGCGATCTGGTTTATCTGGAATGATGCCAGCTACAACAGTCTCACCAGCTGTTAGTGTGCTAAACTATGTTAAACAAAGTTTTGGTCGGTATTTTGCTGTAGTTTGTTTTCTTTTCGGTGGTGTTGGTGCCATATTAAACGTTATTATTCTCACTCGACGATCACTACGTTCAAATCCTTGTTCAATATGCTTTTTAGCATCAACATTTGCAGATTTATTCATTGTTTTTATTAGTATTCCGGTAAGGTTTCTAACAGCTGGTTATAATATTGATCCAACACTATTGTCAGTAGCAACTTGTCGTATTCAGTATTACACATTTTGGTTATCTCGTGCATTATCATCATGGTATATTGCATTAGCCAGTATTGATCGTTATCTAAGTAGTTCAATCAGCGCCCGAATTCGTCGTTGGAGTAGTAAGCAGATTGCTTATCTTACGATTGCTGTTGTTACTACCACGATCTCTTTGTCATATATTCATGTGCTTATTTATTTTACGATTAATGTAACCAGAGACAAATATGGCAATGTTACATCGTTTTCATGTAATGGAGAAAACGGTTTCTATCGCACATTTGCTGCATTTTTTCATTTAACATGTTACACTATAATACCCCCGTTACTTATGCTCGTATTTGGTCTGCTAACATTGAATAATATTCGACAGCAATCTCATTTAGTTCTACCATCAACACAAACAAGAGCCACTACAAAATTTGCTAACAAACAAAACCGTAAAACTGATCGTCAATTATTTCTAATGTTATTTTTACAGGTTATTTGTATCTTTTTATCAACAACACCATTATCCGCACAACAATTATATAGCACACTTACGGCTAGTTTTGTAAAGGATGCATTTAAAATGGCACAAGATAGTCTGTTTTTAGCGGTTGTAGGTAATATAGCATTTATTGCTCATTGTTCCCCATTTTATTTATTTACATTAGCTGGTGCAATATTCCGGAGAGAACTTAAAAACTTATTCTTTAAATTCGTATATCGCTGTTTCAAGAAGGAATATCATGGAAGTGGATCAACAACGTTACAGAAGCCAATAACAAGAACAACACAATTTTGACCAACATCCTCAAGTATACTTGATTTCAAAACTAAAGGTTCGACACTTGTCATAAATATATCATCGAGAACACTGCACCCGTTGATATCTCTCTCAAAGCTTGGTGAACTACTTATAACAAATTAGAGAATCATTAGTAGACAGTAAGGTTATAGGACGAGAGTAGTTCACGTCATGAGACTTAAAAATTGTGTAAGGCGCCCCAAATTCAGAGTTACAGTGGCATTTCAGTTTGTGGTCCAAGCATACATCATTCAATGCAGAATTTTCCGCTGATCACGAATATCTTACTTTAAAAATTTTCAGTGCGCCTATTGAGCGAAAAAATCGAAAAATTGAAAGTTATCGTTTTTTCGAAAAATCACAGCTTTTTCAAGCTTTCGCAATATCTCAGCTCCACAAGGGCCAGGAACCATCGGAACGTGTTTTTCAGAATCAGCGACGAAAGCCGCATACTGCAAAGTATATTTGAAGGTTCCACAGCCATAAAAGTATTTGCCTCCTCGTCAGACTTTAGAGAGCATCAATTTCGACTCCCTCCAATCCCAAACTTATCAATGCCTGCAGCTTAAGAGACAGAACCTTCATTTCTGCTATCATCCAACTCGGTTTTCGCGCGAAAATCTCTTGGTTAGGAAATTCGAAACATCAATAGTCACTTTTTGCATATCTTTTTATAAATTTAGTCAAGCGGCTCTTATTATTTTGAATTTCCTTACCAAGAGATTTTCGCTAAAACTTTTCAAAATCAGGTCAGTCGATAGAGAATTGAATTGTCTATAAAATGGCTCATTCACTTTTGAGTTCGAACGTTTTGAAAAATTTCTCAAAATAAAATAAAATCACCGGAAAACGTTACGAAATTAGCTGGCGAAAAAGTGAAATTTCTCAACAATCGAGAGGAATTTCAAAAGATCGACACGTAACTTTATTCTACGTTTGGAGGCGGTTCGAACGGCGGAAAAATGAAGGTTCTGTCTCTTAAGCTGCAGGCGTTGATAAGTTTGGGATTGGAGGGAGTCGAAATTGATGCTCTCTAAAGTTTGACGAGGAGGCGAATATTTTTATGACTGTGGAACCTTCAAATATACTTTGCAGTATGCAGCTTTCGTCGCTGATTCTGAAAAACACGTTCCGATGGTTCCAGGCCCTTGTGGAGCTGAGATATTGCGAAAGCTTAAAAATCCTGTGATTTTTCCGAAAAACGTGTACAAAATCTGTCATTTGTAGAATCATTCTTTCAACAAGTAAAACGCTGTCATTAAGTCCTCCGTCCGCAATGAGATTCTTCCAATCGACTTCCGCTAGTTCAGTACGAAAATTTGAAAGTTTTCGAAAATTACCCAGACACGTGTTAGAGAGTGTACAGTAAACTATAAAAGAACCGACATATACGTCTTGTCTCGATGAAGAACAAAACATATCTATCCGAGGTAAAAGTCGACTGTATGAATTTAATCTTAATTATTTTGTAAATGGAGTTTCAACAGAGTTCTTTTTGTTCACTTCTCATGCCCCTTATAAGCAGAGTAGTTTGCTGTTACTTGTTGTCGATGAGTTGAATTTGTTGAAGGAGCTGACGTTACTTGGGATGACTGAGTTGCATCCTCAACGTCAAATTCATCTCTTTCTAAGTTCCATTTAATAATAAATCAATTAATTGTTTTTTTGTAAATGACATTAATACACATATATTCAAATTTTGTTGTTAATGTTTACTTTAATTTTTTATTTAATTCAGCACGACGAGATTCAATTGTATTGTTTTTCATTGTAAAAGGTCAAGTACTGAATCTAGAACAATGAGATCAGAAAAACGTGATGGCGTCTTTGTAATGTGTTAGAAGAGAAACAAATAATAGACTCTCGTGAACGACCAAAAGAAAATATCATTTTAATCAATCGTGTTCAGATAGTTAGATTATTAAATGAACATATGTGGTGAAGTGTAAATCAACGGTTTTTCATTATGGTTTTTTTTTTGCTGTTGTTTTCTGTAATCTATCAACTGTTGAAGCGTTGTACATATTTGTGCTTTGTTTTCTTTTAGTCGCGGGTCGAGTTCAATATATTTTCTGAGTTCACTAGCAAAACGATGATATTCTGCTACGGGCAATGTTTTCCTACAACAATTTTGCAACTCTCTGTGCAATAAACGAGATTAAAAACAAGATCATCGAACAAAAAAGCCGGGGTCGTTCGAAATCTCTAAAAGCAGAACATGATAAGTCTCAATATGGACAAGGACCTCACCAAAATAAAATTTCTTATATCAACTTCTTTTTCATATTGTGAAACTGAAATAAATGTGTGTTACATCACATCAAAACATTTTGCACTCATTTTGTTTAAACAATAATCTTTGGTTTTTATATCTAATACGTAGTTTGAGCAAGATCAGTTTGTGCTCAACTTTTCAAAGCCAAGTCAGTCGATAGAGAATTGAATTGTCTACAAAATGGTCATTCACTTTTGAGTTCGGACTTTTTGAAAAATTTCTCCAGATAAAACAAAATCACCGAAAAACGTTACGAAACCTGAATCAGGTCTCAACAAAAAAAATGTTCCAAGTTAAGAGAATTTGTATCGAGCATCTCCTGAAAAGTGTTTTCCATACTCCTGCGCTCCTTCAAATATTTAGTACAATCTAGTAGAAAATGCTTCAGGGTTTCTTTTGGGCCACCGCATACGCGTATTCTCGACGGTCAGTGGAAATCGACTTGGCGTTCACATTCTGTGTGTCATTTACAGACTTTATTTTTTACAGTGCACCGACGAACATTTTGGTGTGTTTTGGGATCCAGGTTAGTGAACAGACAAGTGAGAAAATCATTTGTTTCGGAAAACAGCTCTAAGAAAATTTTGCTTGCTTGAAAATAACTTTATTTCTCAATGAATTAAAGTCAGACACAGCAAGAATGAGCGTATATTCTGAATCTATATCGATTTTAATTTTATATTTATTGATTTTCACATAAAAAACTACTCCCTCAGGTCTTTGAGACAAGTTTTCTTATGCTATTAAACAGGCGTATTCTGAAGTATATTGTACTCTACATGAATACAGAAAAAGTGCTCATTTGATTTTTTTTCTAAATATCTCGATCGTTGCCCGCTTTGAGTTGATCGAATATATCAATCTAGTCAGAAATACTAATTTATTTTCTACCGAATATGCTTTTCTCGAACGAAACAATATCGTATCTCAGTTACTCGCATGACGTTTTCATAAAAGTATGTCGTAGGCAAGAATTCATTTGAGAGAGTCTCTATTATTAATAAACGCGTGTAAATAGCCGTCTTAAAGCATAACGGAACGTGGAACCACTAAGTGTATCAATATAGAACGGCATACTATACGTAACATAACTAAGAATAACTGCCAAAGTAAAGCAAAAGTTTTCGATTGTTATTCTTAGTTGTGATTTTTGTTTCATGTATGACACGGTTAACGTCAAATATAATTTGATTATGCCTGCTGGCATAACGAATATCGACATAAGACACACTTGAATAAGTAATAGTCGAATTAATTGATAATCATCACGCCTTATTCTTGAAACGGTCGTTTTCGTTGTTGACAGTGTTGCAGGTGCCACCAGACAAATTTGTTTTCGAACATTGTCCACGATTAAATATCCAAATAATAACATAATTGTAATAGGTATTATATTTTTGAGAATAAAATTAAATAAATCATTTGCTAAACGACATGAATAATTTCGCGCATAACATGATGATGGAGCATCGACAACTTTAATATCAAAACAAAGGAAAATGTTTGAATAAAGGACAGATGTAATACCAAATATTATTAAGATGACACGGTACGCATTTTTTATGTTGCTCCAATTCCGTTTCCAAACGTGCCGAGACGATGAAAGGTATCGATAGTAGCAAAAGTCAAAAACCAACACACTTGTAAAGTAGCTGTATAGGATAAATAATATCGAATTAGACACCAAACTTTCAACTTGTT